GTACCATGTTCTTGAGCATGAATCGCTGCTGACTCCTGGTAGTGGTTATTATCAACACCAACGAGTCGGCCTCGATGAACATAAAATATTCTCAAAGAGCCATTGTCTCACTCTCATTGATAAAGAGTCCGCATCCTCATTTGTCAGTGAAGAAATGGTATTTTTGGTAGCATATTTCACGTGTAGGATATTTTTCCAAAATATGGAGACAGTATCAGTTGCTGCTTAGCCTGGCTGGACGCTTGCGTACCTGCGCGACTAAAAGTTACGATATGGTGAGCTAGGCAAAGTGCTGTAACCCCTGAAATTCATTCACACGTTTATTCATAAACGCGTGTAGAATTTGGCCGCTAAAGCAAAACCAGTATTTAGTCTCCCACACCGTGATAACAGTTTTTATTGTGATATTACATAACATAGGAAATTACTTTGACCTCTGGCAACCTCCGATTTCGCCAAAATCCAGCCTGATTTCCTGCATTATGTGTTGTAATGGTAGCCAAGGCCGAGATGTCACCGCCTATTACGTCTTGTGTGAGCCCTCAAGGAAGAACACGACGAGGAGAGTGCAACAGCAGAAGTCCTTGAATGTAAAAGGTACAACATATTTAGGGCAACAAACGAGTGCAAACTAGGTCCATCGAGCCAATCAGCTTCTGCCCTGGCTTGGGTACCGGCACGATTGGCTGTGACTCAGCAGCTGGCATTCAGCTTAAAGTTTGAATTACTGATTGATTTGACTGCAGGTTGCTTTCGTCGTCTGTAGGCCGATCGATAGCCTGCCGTGAGCACGGCTCGCGCTTGCAAGCTAACTGTCTGCTAATTGTCCATTAGGGTCATTCTAAAAATATGCATGCTTCACATGCAGGTCTATTTACTAAACGGCTTGCTGAGCACAAAATCCTCTCAACGTATAAAAATGGCAAGACCGAGCGTGCGCTAAACTACCAACTGGAATTTCTATCACTACTTTGCATGGCATGGCTCACGTACTGTATAAGGGTTGATATGGTCCTTGCCTGCACGTGAGATACGATTCGTCGTCTTTTAAAGCCTAGTACACAATATGGGGATCAAGTTGCGTGTGGACGAGTCCTTTAGCTTCAATAACCACTGCGCCAGCACTAGTGGCCCATATCCTTGACACGGTCTTGCCATCAAAGTAAGGTGGCTTACGGAAAGCGAGTGTCCAGCAGGCGCATATCGCCTTTCCTGTATTCACTCAGCGGAGCACCACGACATTGCACGTAACGATAGAACTAGTAGTATGGTTGCCTAGTACCCATTGCTTTGTTTTTCACCCTATTTGCTATTATGTGCTCGCTATGTAGACAGCTGCGCGAACTCGCTACTATTCAGACAACCGAGCATCTGCTTGCCTTGGCCAAACTGGACCATCTCTGCTACCGCTTAAGGCGACAAAAGTTTGAGCCTAAAACAACTTTAACAATATAAAGATAGGCAACGATAAGTAGAGGAATAACAATATTTACTGCATGAATTCTTTGCTAAAGGTACTTACCGATGAGATCGAGTTTGGCCGAGGGGAGGTCCCTGGCCCATTCATAAAATTGGTCAAGAACTGCCAGATCATCATCGGAGATTTGTTTACTAAAGTCAACCATAAACATATAGGTCAGGAATAGCGACAGTGCTACCAGGGCGCGGCGGGCTGCGGTGTGGCATGCCATAAGCCTGACGACGGCGCTGTGACATGCCGAGCGTAAACCGCCATTAAATTAGTTCGCTTGCCACCGCTGCCTTGTGGACAGACTACTGAACCAAAGCGCTAGGGGAGGCAACCTCAAACAAACAATCCGTGCGGCTGTTGCGGACCCGCTCGTACTCAATATTCCAAAGAAACTTACGTCCGATAACTATGTTACGATCCATGCTACGGCGTCCGCGGAAAGCGACGCGCTCCGCAACTCTGGTCCGGTAATGCAGGCAAATAGTATGCAAGCTTGGATGTGCGAACGTTCCTGGCTGCTAATACTCCAAGCTTGACGGTACGCAGCCTTGCTCAGTACAACGTAGATGTCTGTTGCCTGTCAAAAGTCCGGCTGCCTGACTCAGGCACTCGGGAGATAAAGATCCCTGGAGCCAACTCCGACTTCACTTTATACCACAGTGGCCCACGTGACTCCTCCGGTAGGCATGGTGTGGCAATTGTCACACAACGAGCGAACCAGGCACTAATTGCCTGAGAGCCAGCCAATGAACAGGTGGCTTACGTGCGCTTGAAGGGTCAATTCACGAACATAGTTGTCTTTGCCGTGTATGCATCAATCTCCGCTGCCGACCAGCGCGATAAAGAGATGTTTCATTCGTAGCTACAAGCTTTACTTTGAAGACTCCCTTGCCGCAATTGGCTGATTTTTGCCGGGGACTGGAATGGCCGGACCAGGTCTGGTGACTCAAAAAACAGCCGTGTTATCGGCCGCTTTGGATTTGGTTCTCGATGTGGGAGTGGTGAAAGAATGATGAACTTTGACAATCGAAACCGATGGTTTGTTACGAACACGTGCTCCTATCACTGAAACAAACACCTGCTATTTTTGTACTCGAACAGCGGCCATACGGCCAGTCAGATTGACAACATTTTAGTCAGCTCAAGATTCCGCACAATAGCAGGTCATCGCGTGGTGCTGAGTCTGGTACTGCCCATGGGTCTGACCATGTTCCTATTTGTACACGCTTAAAATGCTCACTTCTCATCCACATCCAAAAATACCATGCACATGACTTCTTGATGTCTTCAAAATTCAACAGAGAAATGTGGTCCTTTTTCACGACCCAAGCCGACGGAGAGGAGAGAAGCTAATTGCCCTCATTGTAAACGTCAGTCCATGGGGTACCCGAGAAATTTTTTAGGTAAACTCAGCGACGCCGAATTGATTGGATCAGCGGAAAGACTCTGCAATTTTCTGCTGAGACAACTTGACCCAGGTGCCGTAATTACGACTCTTTCCGCCAACTAAGAAAGATTTAGGCAAAATAGGCTAGATAGGACCGAAAAAATACTGGGGCTGAAATAACGATCTCCATAAAGTTGGCCTTGAGACTCTAAAAACTTATTTGCCAGGTTAGTGATAAGCTCTCTTCAATGAATGATTCGGTTCGTGATGTAAATGGCGGCTTTATTGCTGACAACGCGATATTTCTCTAAAACATGTTTGGATATAAGCAGCGCCGTCAATGAGCTTACTTGGTAGCTGATCCGCTTTGTTTCAGAAAGCTTTAACTACGAAGTTAGTTCGAAATGTTTAACGCACTTACAGAGTTCAGGAAAGTGTCATAAAAATCATTATAGGAGATGGGAAGACAAGCTACATTTACGGTGTGGTACAGCTTCAAAGGGCTTGGATTCTGTTCGCAATCAAATAAAAAAGAATTGAATGATTCTCTTAATTCCAACTTTCACTAAATTAAATAGTTAACATAAATTACCAGTTATTGAACATTAAACATGTCGGTAGGAAAGTTTTGAACATGCAAATTTTGATAATTTTCCTGTTATAATATTGTTCAATAAATACAGGAAATCTCGAGGGCAGGTACTAGGCCAGAATGTAGACGAATGTTACCTTGCCTGAATAGTGTTAAGAATAATTCTATTTTTAATCAAGAAAAAATGTTGCTTACGATGATAATAGCACAAGCCGTCATCACGATGGTCGCAGAACAATTTACAGAAAATTGGACCACACTCAAAGGTACATAATGAGTAGAGTATGCAGGAGCAGTGGGAAGAAAGCAATTTTGAAAATCCGAAAATTGATGGTCAAAGGGATGATCACTTACTTTTGGTTCATGGCTTCAATAAAACAGTGTCGGCAACTGTAGAGCGATCGCTCTATCAGTCGAACAGGGGCCACCTAGGAACGAAATGAATGCATTTTCAGTAAAGCATTTTTAAAGAATAAGTACGGATTAAAAGGGAAGTAAACTCAAAAAACCAGGTGGGAGTGTTCCAAAGAAATGACTTCCAGTGGTACAACGGAAGCTCTTAGTACTCAGTGCGATCATTCTAGGGGTGCAAGAAACTGTAATTTCCCTAGGAGGTAACCAAACATTAAAATAAAAGCACAGCTAAGGTCAGTAGAGATCCCTTTATCGGGGTCTTAAGTCTGCATATTCAGGCAAACCCTTGCTAGCCTCCTCACAGGCAAATAGTATATTAGTGTAACTCTTGTGATTTCAACCGCTGTATTAGGATACATCACAGTGGAAAGTGAGATTATAATCTCAATTTCTTCCACGTTTACTTCGTTCTACAACGAGTTGGTACGAATTCTCTGTCTGACGAAGTGAACATGGGAGAAAGTTCGGTTGGTTACACATGTGAACAACATACAAAATTCACATGTACGGTTGATATTTTTCGGATGACTTCCAATTTTGCCTTAATACCTCTCCGGTTAACAGGGTTTACCTTGCAGTTCCGAAATTCCGTCTTAAGAAGTGGAGATTGCTGCTAAAGCATGCGATTGGATTATTGTCCAAATGAATGGCGAGATGATACTACCAATAAAAAAGCTCTTCTTAACGCAAGGCCAAATATAATCACAAAACGGCTGTCATATGAAAGGAAATATGCAACACAACTGCGGAGGATTTCACAGAGAAACGATTTATAAGTGAAAAAAAGAAAATAAGGGGAGCATATTTCGACTCCACTGAAGATTCCGAGGTCCCGTCTACGTCGTCCATCGTGGTTAAAGAAGCACCGGAACAGTAAGTGCCTGAACTTACCCACTTAAGTTAATAATGGTAGGTTACTTTACGCGTAAGTTATAAGAATTAGAGAACGAGTAACTTTATGAAGACCCAAACTCATTAAGTAGTGAAAGCTTTTCGAAAGATTTGAGGGAAGTCTGTCTAGTCTGTTAGAACATGGCCCCTTCGTAGTCTGGAATAGGCGGGCACGTAGCCCCTAAAGTGTGATTGCCAGTACTGCTCCAGAAAGTAACCTTCCTGGCAGATTCCAACAGCAAATAAACTGCATTCAACAACAAATGGCGTATTTTGATATGATATACGTGAAGTAAGTAATGGGCACATAATACATTTTCTTGCCTGTGGTTTGGTGTGTTGGTTAAGATAAGTGACGATGACTTCACTCTCGAAAGGTGTGGTCCATTTTGGGATATTGTCATAAAATATTTCCTAAATAGATACCTCAAGATATTTTTAGCGGCGCACGTAGAACCGGTGTCCCTTAACATTGTTCCACTGGTCAGTAGGCTCCAGGGATATTTCAATATTCGACGAAATGTCCTGAAAAATCTTTAGGAAGGTCGACTTTCCGCATCCAATATTGCCCTCCACAGCTACTTTAAAGCAACTAGACAATGAATGAAAACCAAAGAGTCCTCACTGG